TTAGAAAAAAAAAATTTGCTACTTTAAAATGAAATATTTCCAAATTTAATACGTTCTTTTATTTCTAGACGTAAGACTTAATTCAAGATCAAGAATTCAGATGAACTTATAGGAAAATTTTTATGATTAATCCACTATAGAATCGTCTTATTACAATTTAAAGCTCTTTGATTACCTGAAAATTAACTTGAGTTTCGATAAACAACAAAAGAAGACATCTCTACTATTGATTAGCATAAGATACACTCAATTTGATCGTCTTAATATACTCAACATCCACACTCTTCTACCGCTTATTATTTATAGGCAAAAAAAAGACCTAACACGATTTATAATTTTTTCTTAATAATATTATCATACTTTCAACTAGATAAGAATTTATTGTACTAGTTAAATTATCAATTTCAATTCGTGTTTGTTCATCATCTGAACGCCAATATACAAGTTTATAACTAATTAGAATTCCATTTAGTTTTGTTGGTTGTTGCCATGTCATTTTTGCTGACCAATGATCAACATCAGGAAAGAAAACTTCAGTTGGTTTTGAGGGAACTAGAAAAAATTTTCATTGTAAAAGAAAAGAAATAATACTTAAAATTAAATCTTCAATACATACCACTTTCATCTGTAATAAATACAAATGATTGACTATATACACTACATCCGCTTGATGTACATGCACTTATCGAACATGAATAATTTGTATAACCATCAAGATTATTTAAAATATAACTAATTGATGAACTATTATTTGAATAATCAATGGTATGAATTATTTGAGGTAATAATAATGAAAAATACATTATCTAAATAATTAATAATTGAATAAAATTTCTTTTGTTTTTATTTGAAAGAAATTAATTTTACCTTATAATTAGTAATAAAACCACCTTGATCAATTGGATTTAATGAATTCCAATGAATTCTAGCTGATGTTCCATTTATTAAATCAATTCGAATATTTGATGGTGGATGAAGAGGTACTAAAATTTTCATTGCAAAAAAAAAAGAAGAATACAAAATGATTTTATATATATCTATATATATTTATACTAACCATTTTCAAATGTTTTTTCAATAGTTTCTATTGAAATTTTACTCATACCAATACGATTATAAGTATGTAATCGAATAAGAAATAATGTATTTGCTGGTGATAAATTATTAAATATAAATTCCATTTTTAATGGATCTTCAATTTTAATATTTCGTGTTAGTGAATCATTAATTGAAATTATATAACCAATATCTTTTCCATTTGATGACATGGAATTCCATTCATTAGTTGCAATTGGCTAAAATAATTCAATTAAATGATTCTGTTGGATAAGATGACCAATCTCTTCATTTGAAAAACCATTTTATAGAGTATTATCTCATTTTCAAACGTGTATATCGAATAATTCTCACAATAGCTTTCTTCGTATTCAAAACTGTTAACATTTTTACTAGCTTGCGTAATTTTTGACGCTTCGAAACTGTTCCTCAGAGCAAAGGTCGCCAACTGTAAAACTTTCTCAGAAGTTTACCAATGTGGATTATCCTCTGACTACAAATGCGTCATAGTCAGATAGGCTAATCAATGCTTGGAAAAAAAAAGCTAAATTTTCTATTCCAATATATATCACGAAAATAGCAAAAAAAGAAATTTCCGCTTTCAGATTTCTGAAGATAGGATACGAGGATATGCAAAATTCTTAATTCTAATAAGAGACTGAATGTAATTATATTGAATCTAATAGAGCTTCATACTCTAACTACATTCGGCTACTCAGAATCTAAATTTCGAAGGAATAAAATAAAATAAAAATTAATCTTTGTACTAGCCAATCCTCGCTACGAGTGTGAACGCGAAAAATTTTTTGCCATTTTCGAGAGATATTTAAGATATGATGAACTTATTATTAATAAATAGAAACTTTTTCAATCAGAAAGTGTTTATCGCAAAACTGATATACTTATCTATCCATAGGAATCGAAGAATTGCCGTTTATTTGGCATTGATTGGTCAATCAGACTATTGATGCACTTTATTTATACAGCTTAATAAGTACAAAATTTATGCGAAAATTTTACGGTTAATCGCTTTTGATCTGAGAATCAGTAATCTATGAGTTATGGTCAGAATTTTGTGCTCTTTCCAAATATAGGCTTAGAAATTCCCTTGCAATCATCAATGGAAAGATATTTTGAAAAGCTCAAATGAATAGTTCGTACACTTTTGTACTGTCACTATTTCGATTCGAAAGTAAATGTTAAAATCATTATTAATATATGAGGTTAATTTTCATATTTGAACAATGTGTCTTAGTTCAATATAAACTTTTACAAAGGATCTTATTGGTTGATCATTCAATCTACATTTCTTGGCCTTTAAAAAATTCCTTCATTAGTCTCGAACAAAAAAAAACTGAAATAAAACTTTGTAGATCCATACTAGGACAATCCACAATGTGTTGGTCCTAATCCATAGCTTTTGACTCTTCGGAAACCCTTTCAAAGAAGTCAAAAATAAAAAAATATTTTGTCTCAAAATTTTAACCTTATATAACTTCTCAGAACGTTAAAACTTATATTGAAAATGAAACCTTTTATATACTACTCAATGCATCACGAGTTACTCTACAAAACGGTATAGATAATATTTCAAATGAAGGATATTCATCTTATCCAACAGGATTGTTTATATTAAATATGTTACCATCCATCGAACTCTTATAGCACTTGAATTAATTGCTTGTGCTAATAATATTTGTGGTACACTTGATGGTACATCTGGTTTTGTTCGAAAGAAATCTGTTGGAATACTTGTATTACTTATTCCTTTAATATTAACAGCTAACATTCGTATTCGATATAATTTATTAGGATATAAATCACGAACAATTAATTTTGATTGATCAATAGAAAAAGACTAGAAAATATAAAAATTTATTCGAATTTTTTAATTTTAAAAGAACAGTTTTTGTTTTTACTTGAATATTTTCCCATTGTGAATTATTACTTCTCATTTGAATTTGAATAATATAACGTAAAATATTTGTTTTACCTGTATAACCAGGTGAAAATTTTATTGTTACAGAACGTTTTTCAATTGAAATAATTTCAAGATTAGTTGGTGGTGATGGCATTTCAGGTGGATAACCTGATTCAATTGATGCTGAACGTTTTAAACCAAAACCTTTTCGTGTTTTAGCTCGAACACTTATTAAATACCATGTTGTTGCTGATAAATTATTTATTTTATATGTTGTTAAATCAGGTTCAATTTCAATTATTGAACGATCTGTTAAATTTAATTGTGTATTATTCATTTGATACCATTCAAGTTCATAACCAATTAAATATCCATTTATTTCCAATGGTTTTTGCCAACTTATATCCAATGATGTATCATATACATTAGAAAAAGTTAAATTTTCTACTTGATCAGGAACTTAAAAAAAAAAAATTGTTATAAGAAATCAATGAATATTATTTCATTGAAAATAGAAATATTTAACAAAGAAAAATTGGAAATTTTAGGAAGGATTTGAAATGTCCTAGAAGAATCAAAGTTATAAAATCTATTGTAATTTACTCGTAATCTTTGATTCTGATTAGTTCTGCCAATTGATAATCTTTGTTCGAACGTGATTGTTAGGATCTATTTTGCAAGCAAAAGTTTAAAAAGTACTTTCCTCTTGAGTTATAATCATTTCAAATGAATGTGCAGACTATTGCAAGGAATACTAAATCATAGAATTTTGATCTGAAATTTCAATTGAAGATTGACGATATGATTCTTATAATATACTGTAAATTTTTAGAAAAAACTGATTGCTAGGAAGTCGGAATCCAGGTGTGAGTTCTCGTTATAAAGTTTGACCGAAGGTAATCGGAGCCGAGGAATTCGAATCTAGAATCGATTTCTTCAAATTTTTGTGAAAAAATCAAACACAAAATTTGAAGAAATCGATCATAGATTCTGATTCCTCGACCCTGATTACTATCTGCTACATAATGAAAGAATAGATATGTATCAACATCCTCAGATGCTCGAAAACAAATTCTCAAGTGAGTTTCCGTTCCTTAGAAACAAGAATCCTGACATCCACACAAACAAATATGTCTTTTTTAGTAGATAATATCTTGAGAAGAAACCATTTGTTTTTGTTAAAATTTTTACGATATATAAAAATGAGACTGAAATCAATCTCCAGATAAAATTCTATTATTTAATTTCCTTCTTAGTATCCAAAATTCAAAAAACTCTTTATACACACAATAGATCCTAACATTCATTAAAAACAGGAACGATCATATATCGATTATCATTAGTTCAAAAAACAAAAATCATTAGATTATCTCATTTATAAAGTTTCATTGACTATGATTAGTCCTTATTTGGAAAACAACGAGAAATCTTATGAATATATATTATTTCATACCATCTTCAAGTGTTTGAACATAAATCATTGGTGTTAACCATGGTCCACTACCAATTTTAGTTGCACAATTAATTCTAATTGAGTAATTTGTATATTTTTTTAAATTACTAATAATAAGTTGATAGAATTCAATAGGTTTAGCTTGTTGTTCTTGATAAAATGTTATATTTCGATTTAAATCAGTTAATTCAATCTAAAAAAAAAGCAAAAATTTTAATTATTCAATTTTCTTCTTCTTTACTTTAAATGAGTTAAGAATTCCATTAATATATGATGAAGATGGACCATGCCATTTAATCATAATTGCTGTAGAATTCATTGGTTCATATTGAATAATTGTTGGTGCACGACTTGGTATACCTTCAAGTGTACGAACTTTAACTATTTCACTTGCTGGACCAATACCAACATTATTAACAACTGATACAGATATTAAATATGATTCCCATGTCATTAAATCTAAAATATAAAATAAATTTGATTAATTTTTTTTTGTATTTATGTGAAAAGAAAAACCTTTTAAAATATATGATTGTGTGGATGAATTAACACGAATTGATTTCCAATTTAAATTTGGATAATTTAATGCATAATTAATATCATAACCAATTAATTGTCCATTAATACTTGATTCAATTGGTTTTGTATATTCAATAAATACAGATGTTGAATCACGAGGAATAGCTGTTAGAGATTTAACAGTACCATTTGGAACTAAATTAAGATATATAAATTATTTTCTAGTTTCGTTAATAAATAATCTTACTTTCTTCTGGCAAAGTAACTTTGTTACTAGGAGCACTTATTTGACCTAAACATAAATAAAATAGTTTTTTTTGTTGTTTACACTACTTCGGACATTTTCTCTACATGTATTCTAATTGTCCAAATAGTGCTCTATAATTCTATAATATTTTATCCGTCTTCAATTGCTATGATAATATTAGAATTTTGATCAAAGTTGTTCATGATAAACTATAATTTATTTTCGACAATCTGACTTCACCTATTAGATCATATCTTTCGTGATCATCCGCAAGTTTAGATGTTTCGACATAAATCAAGTGATTAATCTCTTTTGACTGAGATTAGTTGGTGCTTAAAATTCGTCAATTATGATATAAAAATTATTATAAATAAGGCAATGAACTTTTCAAATGTTATTCGGTAACACATCTGCCACTAGGAAGCTGCGGGACCGTGTCCAAAGTTTTATTTTTTTTACACGTTTTTGTGGATCCGCTGCTCCCAAGATGAGAAATCCAGCAACAAGATATAACTGTACGTTAAGTTTTTTTCTGAAAGTAGCGAATAAATAGCTGAAACCTTAGTCCTTTACTTGTTCATGTACACGAAAGGTGTCAGGTATTGATGGAAAAAATCTCGGCTTTAGACCCGATCGGATCCGGGTCCACAGAAACATGGACCTACAGCTCTATATCTACCACAGAGTTACTGGACCTTGACTTCTCAACTTATTTTCTATAGAGATTTAGATTTAGCTTCGAATAATCGTTCGAAGAGAGACGTTAGGTTTATTTGCAAAATCTGAGTGTAAAAACTAAATTCTAATATCATCATATTAATTGAAATATATAAAGAAAATTTGCCGAAATCTTCTCTATAAGGCAATAAAGTGTTTCCAACATTACTTTTGATATGTTCTAAATAATTCTATATACCTTCTCCTAATTGATTCCAAGCTGATAATCGAAACCGATAGGTTGTAAATGGTCGAAGACCACGTAATAAACTCCAAGTTTTGGTAGGATGTTTTTGTATAATAATATCTTCTTTATTTTCCCATCCGAGTTCATCATTGAATGAAGATAATTCATTAATATCTGATAATGTACTATCTTTCATTTGAATTGTATATCGTTCAATTGGCATATTTCCATCAAAATTAGGTATCCAAGTTAAATTAACAACAATTGATTTACTTATAGAATCATTGACAAGTGATGCTCGAACAAATGTTGGTGGCCAAGGTAATTCTATGATAAATAATAAGATTTATATCATAGAATAATTTTAACTTACCAATAACTGTAACTTCTGTTGTACGACTATCATTACCTGCTTCGGATTCGACTTTACAAGTATAATTACCCTATTGAAAAAAAAATCATAGTTAGTTACTATATTTATCCTATCAGATAGATTATCTTATCCTTTTTTAAAGTACTAATTAGAAGAAGATAAAAATGGATGTCAATTTTGTTCAAACAGAAATGTATTCGATACGTTCAATTTCTTAATTTTAAAAATCATGGTTTCAATAAGTAATTATTGATCGCTTGATATGATTTTTTCGTATCTGGTATCATGTCTAAGAAAAATTTTCTTATTCTAACCTTGTCTTAGATGATCCTCATTCTAATCCCTTCCAATGCTGTGAAGTAGGATTGATTTTCAAGTCCTGCTGCACATTTCTCTTACTCTACCCTACATAGTTGTTCTTATTAGGTAAAACAGACACACAGACAATGTCAAATCTTCGCAACTGATAAAATTTCCACGAAATTACGACAATAATAATTATAAGTGGGTATTTTAGGATGTGCAATGTCGGTCAAAACATAAGAAAAAGACCCGCGTACGGAAAGACTTCAGTCATGTAACAGTAGTTCAATAGAAGGTTGAGCGAGTCCGAGCCATCGACCTGCATAGAACTCATTAAGACGAAGCATGCTTTTTTATAGGTACTTTTGGATCAACAATTTCTTCTTTGCGTATATTTATCTATTTTCACAATAATTTCCAACTCAAATTATATGAATATGCAGCTAAAATCATCTTTCTTTTCGCTATAAAATTATCACAATTTTTTGAAGTCCACTTAGAATAAGAGGTTGAATGATAATAAAACATGTGATAATTTTATAGCGAAAAAAGTGCTGATCCAAAAGCATCTATCAAAAGAAACATTTTTCGTCTTACTGAGCTCTATGCAGATCAATGATTCAGACACTGCTCTTTCGAACGGTAAAAACCGTAGGTCTTTATCTTGCTCCTATCGGAAATTATTCAAAAAAAAGCATCCAAGTGCCTTGAATTCCGGCACCGATAATAGAAACAAATTATCGTGTTATGAGAACTTATTGTTAAATTTCTTTATTAAAATAAACAGAAAACGAAAAAAAAAAGGCAAAAATAATTTGACTCGAAAAGTAGTTTTTTGGAAGTGAAATCTTCGGAACAGACTCAAATTTCTCTTATTAATCCTTACAAAAAAGTCTTATTTCTATGAATACTTGATATACTCCATAGTACTTAGCAGTACACATTTTCATTAAAACGTAATGCCCAACAGGATGACATAGTGACTTGGTAATCCAATTGAGAACTCCGCTTTTTACGTTGACATTTATTGCATAACAAATAATAAGAAACTCAAAAAAAATCATACCACTTCTAATAGGATCGAAACAGACTACTGAGCACTATGTTTTATTGAAAAACCCATGTTGCTAAGCACTACGAAATCTACTAACTTTTTATAAAATTTTAAGTTTTTAGGGAAATTAATGAGAGGAATTCGAGTTCGAAGCCGAAATCCAGTATAACCCAAGTGACTTGACAACTCATCCAACTCTCTTTAGTATTTGAAAATAAACACTATGGATATATTATTTTCTTATCTAATTGAAATTTTTTTTTTCTACATACTGTATCTTGATTTTGTGGTGTATCAATTAAAATTGTACTTTCATTATAAAATTTATTTTGTGATATAATTTGATTAGAATTAAAATACCAAGAAATTTTTTTTGATACATCATCTTCATTAAATACATGACAAACAAGTATTAATGATTGTGCTTTAATAATTTTCATTGTTTGTGGTAATGATATAATTCTTGTTCGTCCTAAAATATTATTATGTTAGTCTTTTGTTTTTTTTCTTTGTATGTTTTTTCTATACATACGACGAACAAGTAATGTTGTATGTGCATTTGCTGATCCAAGAATATTTTGTGCTAAACATTCATATAGACCAGAATCATTTCGTATTGTATTTGATATTGATAAAATACCAGTTCGATGATCAATATGAAATCTTCCATAAATATTATTTAATAAAATTCGTTCATTATTATTTAAATTTACTAAATTTTAAACATAAGAAAATTTTAATTAATTTAAAATCGAACAAAAAAAAAATCATGTATGTTTTTTACATTTAAACCAAGTTATATTTGGCCATGGTGATCCATTGACATTACATGTTAATTGAACATCAGTTCCATTAAAAACTATTAAATCTTTACTAACAGATACAGTCGGTGGTTCACCTAAAATCAAAAGAACGTTTTTTGCTGTGGAATTTTAAAAAAAAACTTTTACTTTTAATTTTTAACCATGTTGAACGAGTATCTTCACCAACATCATTTGTTAAAAAACATTGATACATACCTTGATCATTCCATTCAATATCATTAATTATTAATTTATTTTCAATTAATTGAATTCTATAATAAAAAAAAACAAAAGAACTATTTCTTTATTTTTTTTTTCTTCACTACTTCGATGATTGATTTATTAAACGAACAGCATTTTTATACCATGTTACATTAACATCTATTGATGCTTGTGTTCCATCACAAGTAAAAATTACTTTATCTTGTAAATCAACATTTTGTATAAGTGGAAAATTTGTTGTTATTATAGGAACACCTTATATAATGTTAAAATATTTTATTTTTATTTTTGTAGAAAATAATTATTATTTACCTCGAACAATTAATTTTGCACTTGCATTTATAAATATTTCACTATTTCGTATTCGTACATGACATGAATATATTCCTTGATCATCAGCAATTATTCCACGAACTTCAAGTGTACGATTATAAGGACCAATATGAAATCGTCCATTTGTTTGATCAATTAATACAGAATTTTTTTGCCAAATTATTTCAATAGAATTACTAGAACTAGTGTTAGATAGAAAAAAAATAAATTCATAAGGCAAACAAGAATTTCGTTTTTTCGAAAAATTGACTTTTCGTCTCACTCTTTCATTACGAACTCTGATTGAAATAGTCTGTTACGATCTCTGGACATAAGAAAAAAACACAGGGTATTCGAAATGGAGTTCTCAATAGCAAAAGTCAATGAAATGTAACAAAAAACAGGATGTTCGAAGTGAAATTTGTCCAGGAGTTCGTAACGAATTCTGACAACCCATTGTTAGTGGTTGAACAGCGAAAGTTTGACTGAAGATCGGAATGAGAAAGTCCAGAAGTTCGTAATGAAAATTTTCGAACATCCTGTCGCACCACTCCGATTTTCCTGTTTTTCTGTTACGATGTCCCATACAAAAATGTTTACGAGGTCCGGTCATAAATCTTTAAGGACAAAAATTCATTTGTGAACACCTGGACACATGTTCAGAGTTCGGAATGATTTGAGACAAAAAGTACGTCACCCTTTTTTTTTGGCAGTTTTGAGAGAACTTCTATAGACACTCAGGTCAAGAACTATATTTTCTAAATTTTTCGGTAGATTCACTAAAAAAATATAGCTGAGATCTTAGATCGGATCCCGAACAATTAATACATATCGATCTCTATCATAGATATAAATCCGAATTGTAACTGAATTGAGTTCAAAAAATATTCTGCTTTATTCAATTCAATCTTTTCTGTGTGTATCGTAAATAGGAATGTTCAAGATTAATAATAGATTAAAATATGATCAAAGACATTAGTGAATAGAATCTATACTTTGGCGTAATCGAGAGTGAGGAACACGGTAGAGTGAAGATGAGGCTATGATCGATCTGGAATAACGCCCAAACTTTATATAGAAATAAGTCTTGTTTGTTATTTTTATTATTATTCTCAAGATAATCTTACCCAGCATTAGCAACACATTCAAATGATTTAATAGGATCACCAATTGTTGCTAATTGATCTATTGGTTTAATAATAAATTCTGGTATAGAATTTTGAAATGAAGTTTTTCGTCGATTAATTTGTAAACGATAATCTGATGATTGTTTTGTACCACCAACAAATATATTTTCAATAATAGCAAAATAAATTTTTTCATCTTGATATTCTGTATTAAGTATAACAAGATTATGTTTTGATGTAATAAAATATTTTTCATTAATTATAATACGTTTATTATCACGTGATAATGAACTACTTTTCATAAACCATTGTACACTTGGTTCAGGTGATGAATTTATTATTGGTAAATATAAAATAATTGCATCAGATTCATAAACATTTATAAATTGATCACGTTGATTATTAATTAAACCATCAAAATACCATATTGTTAAATGTGTTGATTTACTTGCAACAATACCAACATCATTTTTAGCTAAACATCTATATGAACCTTGATCTTGTTTTTTAGCTGATGTTATTTCAAAATAACTAAATGAAGAAAAATTTGATGTTAAATTTTCCCATTCACGTAACCACATATAAGTTGGAGGAGGATAACCAATTGCATTACAAGTAAAAACTTTACGAGAACCTAATGGTACATCATCATCACTTGATTCACGTAAAATTATTGGAGGCTGTAATTGTTCACCTAGTTGTTGTTTTTTTTTCAAAAGAAAATGATATTAGACTAAAAAAAAAATTTTTTTTCTAAATTTTCTTACTGAAAATTGAAACAAAAAGAGTATATACAATGCATAACAATTTGATAAACATAAGAAATGTATGTACATTCAGTTGATGACGAAATCTAAAATAATAATAATAAAGAAAGAATTTGTTTTTTTTTTCAATAAGTGACAGTTGACCGACCGTTGACACCTTTCAAAGGTGTGTGAATTTATGATTCATCTAGTGACCAATGACCTCATCTCGTTGGTTGACCATCGCCATATAACACTTGTTCTATCCTCTTTCCTCTATATACCAAATGTTGTTTCATTCAATTCTGTTCATATTCGTTCGTTTATAAATGATGACAACAATAGTTTAAAAAGCACAGTATATTGTTTTTAAGCGATCGGATTCTAAGAGCTCAATGAAAAACACAAAGAAAAGCTATTGTTGAAGCGAAAAATGAGTTTTCTCTATTAAATGATATATAAAAATCTGATAGAAAATTATTTTTTGCTTTGTCTTATATGAATATATGATTCAAGTCATATACCGTCGATAGACTTTCATGAAGAATATCACGCTTTAGTGCTCTTCTCTAATGGTAGCGATTCACTTTGAATTTCATATCAATCGATAGATCTGTACGATATTCTATCAAGTGGTGTTAAAACGTTCAAGGAAAAAAAGTGAGAGTGTATTTTCTTGTTTTTGAATAGTGAGAAAAAAAAACTTATGATGATATATCAAATATTCTTATCAAAATGATAGCAGTCCACTTTAGATTTAGTCGAGATCTTTCAAATGATAATCAAAAATCTATATAAAAAAAGACGAGAGGATACATCTATTGTTTTTTTCAAAATATCTTGAACAATGAGTGGAGTATAGGCGATGAGTAGATTTATATTGACAGCAAAAGGAGTAAATTATATTTTGATATTTGAGAGTGTACCTGGAAGACTTTCTTGGTTCAAAAATAAATCTACAACTTTTTCGTCAAAATATGATTTGAAACAGTATGTATTGACTGAGGAGCACAACACAAAACTTTAAATTTATCTCGAATGAAAAATATTCATCTTGTTTCGTATTGTTGTTTCTTCTGAAACAAAGATGCTAATATCGATCATGTCTATATCTTGATCTCTATGTACTTTCAACATGTGTATTTATTTTCTCTTTTTCAATCGTTTTTTTTTAAACAGATGATCTCATTTACATATTTCAATATATTGACTTTTTATGGAAACTTATTGATACTTTATAAAATCGACTTTTCTCATATTTGCAAGCATAGATCACATTTCGAAATTGATTAAAATATTCGATTATTATTCTAAATTGATTCGAGATATCTTGCTTTTCATTCATACTAATTGAAAACTAAAATATCAGAACTAATTATTTCTCATTTTCTTAAATTATACAATATGTTTTATACAAATTTTAATATATTTTACTCTTCCTTTTTTTAATTTTATTATGACGTTTTGAAGGACACGTCCTTCTTTGTCAGGTGTTATAAACAAATAAATTAAATTTATAAAATAAGAACACACGTATATATATATATACGAATACATAAAATTGAACTTTCTTTTTTGTTTGTCCTTTTTAATTTTCAATAGTGGAACGGACGACAACAAGATGGTAACTGAACCGGAAATAAAATATATCACCTGTTTTCTTCTTCGTTGTCCGTTCCACTATTACCGTCCTGTTGCGTCAGTCTTTCGAATCTTTTGGATTTTTTAAATGCAATTCTCTTCTTCATTTGTTCTTTATTTTTGAGTAAAACATGTAACCAACCTGAATCAATATCATTATACTTGTTAACAGATTCATTTATTATAGAATAAATAGCTTCTTTTGTCCTTCTCTTAAACCAATTTGCTGCAGTATCGATTATAAAAGCTTCTTCAAGATGAAACATACATTGATATCGTCCTGAATGGAAGTGCTGAACAATTTCCGATTTTGATTCATCTTTATCTTTTAAAATTTCGTTTTCATGTTGTTTTATTCTTTTCCATATACCAACTTTTGTTTCTTCCTTATAGATAAATTATTACATTCACATTCTAATTGATAAATTGCTGATTTGTTTTCTTGTTTTATACATGAATTAAAAAGTGATTTTATTTTATTTTAATAAGAAAAGAAGACCCGGATCTTAAGTTTTTCTAGTCTTCTTTTGAGAATTTCTACTCCAGGTACACATAGTATAACAATTGAGTATAAATACTCATTTTTCTTTTTAATTTAAACATTTAATGGTTGATTACTTGATCGAATTGTTTGTTCAATCAATTTACTGATCCCTTTTTCTGGATAAGCTGAATTTTTTAACATCTTTTTTAATGTTTGTAAATCTTGTTGTTGATCATTAGTATTTTTAGATGTTGTTATTATTCTTGAAGTCATATTAGTAACTATATTTCTCTTTATTGATTTATGATGACATGAGTTGTAATTGAGCAGTCTATCTGCAGCTGATTCTTTCTTAAACCATCTAATATCAATAGAATTATCATTTTCATTTCTTCTTAGACTAGTATCTAAGAAATTTATAGTTTTATTCTTTTC